ATCAGTGAGGTCAAACTGGAAGATGTCAGACGTTCACTGTAAGTACAGCCCCCTGGCATTCACTGGCAGATGGCACTGACCAGAAGGAAAGAGGCCAGATATGCCCTGCAAAATTTCCATGAAAACAGGCAGCCACAGCTTTCCTTTCACTCCTTCACAGTCACCTGTCAAAGTATTAGATAAAACGATCTCCAGGCTTTGTTATGAAGATTAGGAGAAATAACCAAATACCACACCTGAGACTCTTCCTGAACACATTATCTCAGATAGGGCTTTTGAAGGGTTATTATATGCATACAGTATAATGCATATCATGCAACAGTAGCTAAATATCATTAAGCATTAGTTCCTGTTACCTGTAATAAGATCGGGTCGCTAAGGTTAGTAGAACTTCGATGAACCACTCCTGCCAGCACACTGGTCAGATTGTAGGTGTCCTGCAGAGCTTCTCTAGTCTCATTGTCTGAAGCTAGAATTCAAGAATTATTAGCAAAACCCCCTATCTAACAGCAAAAGCAACTGTTGTATTAGCTACCAATTTAAGCAGAAGCCAAAGTCAAGTAGACTAAAACTGATAACTTGATAGGGTTTCTAGCAATAGCTAATTAGAAAAAAAGCCAGTTCTACTCAGGAACTCGAAAAGATGTAGCAAACAAGGATGACATGCAGGTAAAGCAATAGATCAGCTGGAGGAGGACTAATTCTTAAAATTTTCCAGACCCAACCTCAGCAAGTATTTTACAGTGACTGTTCCAAAAACATAAAAGAAAGCTCAGAGAGGCTAAAACTCCATGAATCAGAGATGATAAACAAGTGATCACCCCAAAGGAGTCAAGTGTTAAATAACTACTCATACATGATGAGAAACTAAGCAGGGAAGGGATAATTTTTCCCCACATACGTACATTGTGCTCTGAGCACAGAGCTCCCAGGACAATGAAGTCCTACTTCTGTGAAATGGAGGGAAAAAACCCAAACAAAAACGTCATCTCAAGAGACAAGTAAGAGGCAGTAGAATCTATTTTGCAACTGGGAAACCTGATGCACACAGGCCCAAGCTATAGGAGAGTCCAAACTGCCACCCTGCCAACACTCTGGTGGGAGAGGTAAACTGAGGTGATGACAGTTGTTGATGTAACATGGCTTCTCCCTATCCTTGCATCCAGGCAGGTCCCTCACTTCTTTAAAAAGTTAGTCTGTTCAAGCTCCAAAAATAAAGGACAAGAGAATAATTCCTCATCCTACCCAGTGAGGAAACAAATTCTGACAAGCACAATCATTGTAATTTCACAGTGATGACTTGAAATCTGCTTCTCATGGAGATTTAACATCTTAACAGGTGTCTCAGCCAAGCACTCCACCACAACGAAAAATACTTCGTCTTTCACACCTAAAGCTTCTTCCAAGAAATCCATCACCCACACCACAGAATCTTCCCTTGCCCAGATAAAAGATAAAAAGTTCAGATGCAAACCTTACCTAGTTGTGATAGCAAAGTAACTACAGACAAGGTCAGAGATGGGTTTATATTAGTGTCCTCAAGGAGCTCCACAAGGCAACTGAGACATTCACTTGGTAGAATCTGGTTTGAAGCAAATAACCGTGTAAGCTTCAGTCCAGAGATAACCTGGAGATGAAAGGGGAAAAATAACCTTACTCAACTGCAACAAAGTAATTCACATAGAAGTCAAAGCACAGAGTTGTATTAAATAGATTTTGCCCTACATGACAAACTGAGAATACAAGTGCCACTCTACTGAGGCATTTGTATTCATATCTGCAGAAACAAAAAAGTTTTGAAAAAAATCTGGTTTTCATTCCTGTGGATGTGTTCCCTTTACTCTTGGAAAGTAACAGATTTATTTATTTTGAAAGTACAACCAAACAGATTGCTCAACACAAACATTTAGCAATCAGCCTTCAGCTGAGCCCAACAGCCTGCTTCCTAAGGATGTGGACAGGAACCCAAAGGTGCCACTCCACAGGAAGAGAAGCAGCAGCAGTCAGTGCTGTTCTGGGAGCACTCTGGGACTGAGATGAAAAAAGTGGAACCTGGGCTCACAGAATCCTATACAAGAAGATGCCAAAAATGATACATCTGCAGCACATCAATACAGGCAGACACAATTTGTATTTTACAAAACAGAGACACATAATGTTGAGTTTGCACATTCCCTGTATATCTCTTTGCAAGGGACACAGACAAGAAAGCAAAGCGAGATGCTAATTCTCATATAAATATTTTAGCGATTAAAAAAAAAAATCTGTATTTGGAAAAGGTACCTTGCAGATGAAGTAATTCAGCCAATGGCCAACACAAGGGTTGTACACAAGGCTGAACCTGGAGGTCAGGGAAACGCACTGGCCTACCCTCTGAGCAAAAAACACACTGGAATATGTGTTGCATGGAACTGGCAAACTCCAGTTACAAGACCAGTTCATCATTCAAACTCTGTTTTTTTAGACGTTAATATAAATGATCCTTGTGGGTCAGAATTCTGGGGATAGGAAAAAACCCAGAAGTCCCTCGTAAGACACGCTATATGCCTGCCCTGAGTGTTTATAAGCATACAGCACACATCTGTAAACACACAAACACACCACAAAGCATTATAACAAAGGACGCCACAGCCACCCCCAAGCCCCCCTCCCACCGCGCCTCGGGACTCCCACCTCCAGGCTGCGCTGCAGGAGCGCGGCGTTGTGCGGTGTCTTGGCGGCGCGGTACTGCGTGGCTGCCAGGAGCAGGGCCTTCATGCAGCCCGGGGCGTCCATAGCGGCGCAGCCCCTCAGACACTCCACACTCCACTCGCATTTCCCGCCGCAGACGCCATTTTGACGCAGCGGCCACTGAGCGGGACCAGCCGCCGGTGCCGCGGGGCACGACGGGAGACGCCGCCGCCGCCATCTTGCTTAAGGGAGTCAGGGGCGGGCGCCAGCGGGAGTCGAGGGTGGAGCGGGGGAGATCCAGGGAATGCAGCGGCTTGGGTTAATGACACCGGTTTCAGGGCTAACGTGCGGCTGAGGCGGTGCAGAGAGAGATTCTTCCTAAGCGGAGGTGTATGGGGTTGGGGTGAGCTGTCTTCCAACCCCCCAACCTCTGGAGGGCAGCCTCGGGATTGCAGCTGCCGCCGGTTCCCACCTGCGCCCGCAGCCCTGTTTCGCTTTGCTACTGCCTGACTTTTCCTCTCCCACTGGGGTCGGCTTGAGCCCAGGGAGCAGCCAGGAACCCCTCCTGGGCCCCTCCGGCCTCTCCCGTGGGAAAGGGAAGCCTTGGTGGGGTACCGGCGGCGGCGGGGATCGAACCCGCCGCTTGTCCGCCTCGCACAGCGTCCGCCCCCTGCGGTCCGACACCGTGATGGAACCCTCCTTACAGCGTGTTCTCTGTTACACCATGTTATTTCTTACACCAGGTTCTCATACCTTTCGACTTTGCAGGTACGACAGGGTCTGCCCCCTCACTGCTCAGCCACCCCCCTCGCCTCCACACGGGCACACCACCTCCCCGTGGGATGTTGGAAAGTAGATGCTGCTGCGTGAAGCTTTCAAACATGTTTTCTCAACTCGTGCACGGGTTGTTTTCTGCTATAGGTATTGCCTGCAAATGTGTGCAGGAATGTGTGTGTTGTCCTCATTTTCTTATACTGTTAACAGGATAAACATTGCCAATATAGCAATAAAGCACTGGTGAATAATGTAATGTCAATCGTAATGTAAATTTCATTCTGTGTCTCTTTTTCCTGCTTTAAATCCTTTATCCTTATCGTGTTCTGTGCTTCACTTGACCGCCTCAGAGGTAATGCCCGAGAAGTGACCAGTGGGTGGGTTTAGAGCCCCCCTCAATCCTAGATGCAGCACCTGGAGCTGCAGCCACAATTGCATTGTAATCCAAGTCCAAAGCACGGCTGCCAACTGCCAGCTAAAAGGCACCAGAGCCTGCCCCCTTGTACCCTCTCCAGCCATCAGGAATCACACAGTCACTGTCATGAGGCACAGGCTGGGAATCCTTGTCACTCAGCCTTTTCCCCGGGCTGAACGTCAGTGAGACTGACTGAGCACGTGGGGGACTGCTGAGACTGTGATTTCAGAAAAACTGGTGTTGTGTTCTGTTAAAGACCAGGCTGCTGGAAGTGGAGTGTCTCAGCACAGCAGTTGCTCAGTCTGATACCTGTGATAACCAGCTATCAGACAGGCTGCTCAATTTTGAAAATAAAGAGACACATCAGTGTATGCGCTTCTACAGAGCAAGGGTTGTTTTTTTTCAGTTCAATAGTACAATTCTTCAGGGACAACTACTTTATTTTCAATTCATAACGTTTTGGACACATATTTTAGTATTTCTGGCAATGCCAGAGTCAATTAATATCCTTATTTTTTTGTCTTCTTCATGCTGTAAGTACCAGTTGAGCCTGGCACCAAAAACTGTTAGCACTGTTAAATTAATCATTAATTCTTAAGCACTGAAAGAACTAAAACTCCTTTGACAAGTTCCTTTCTTGTGAAAGAAACATAATGGAAAAAGATGTGACTAGTATTGTCCATTAAAATACATAAATAATTTGTGAAAGATCTTAAACACACAACCACTCTAAATATCTTTCTCACTGTCTCAAATGGTGAGAGAGTGTGTACGAGTGACTGGGAGAGTCAGGACATACGTTCCAATTCCGGCTTTGGCTGTTAGTTGCAGACCACCTTCAGAAAAAAAGTGTTTATTAAATATTTAAAATTGGGGGTAATATTAAAGCAAATTTTTCTATTAAAGAAACCAAAAAACCCACATACACATCATAATACAGAGCCAATGGCAGTAGCAAATTAAATGCAATAAGCATTCTCATATGTACAGTACCTATTAAACACTAGTATGCGTTCATACTGACATGCATGTAGAATTTGCACTCCACTTGTAATCTAGGATCATTCCTCAATATTAAAAGTATTTCAAACCATTTTCATTTTGTTGATTAATTCTTTATGGCATAGATTTAACACAGCATTTTTGTTTTAATTTGGATTATTCCAAACTACAGATTATTACTAGTATTCTTTGATGTTGATGAAATACTATCCAATTATACAACGAGGTAACATGAATCGTGCAAAATAGCAGAGTTTAGGGGTTTTAAAGAATTTTATAATGTCAGTAGAAGTTTTTACATTTATGATTTTTATCAACACATATCAATTCTGTCATAGATTACTGCTTTATGCACATTCATTTATTGTATTTATATTGCTGCTTTCTAACAGAATATTCACTTTAGCAGTCAACATCCTGGACAGTTTCCTGGCTTAAAACAACCCAAAAGACACATACATGGACACAGATACCTTTCCATGTATGTGTGTGTCTGTTATAAAAAATAATTCTTTTATTCCTGAGCAAAAATACATAGTAGCTTGTACTGGATCTAATGGGAGAAAATACAACTACTCTACCAGTCTGCAAAAGGAAGAGAGTAATTCCAGAGGTAAAGATCCACAGAGGATGCCCAGCTGGCAGCTCTCTCCAGCCGATCCACTGCACTGTGGCACAGCCTGAAATGGCAGCTTCCCAAATCGTCGGGCACAGATCCTTCACGGTAAGACAGTGACATAATCGGCATCATCAATTTCTGTAAAGTATTAGATAAAAACAAAAAAGGATGTTGTCATTGCAAGTGGCCCTTCTGAAAGGCCACAATAAGCAGGATGGCCTGTGGCAGGGCAGGTATCAGTAACTCAGTTTTGTTTCTCAGTATTCTCTCTGCTGTTGCAAGGTCAATGTTTAGGCCCCCTGTCCTATGGACTGGGTTTGCCAGCAGCCCACACAGAGGCAAATCCTGTATTGCCTTTTCTGAGCCATCAAGTTCTGTTATAAACAGTTGTATCCATGTGAGACCTCCTTCTTCCTGAGGAGCAGTAAAATGTTGGAAATCATTCATACTTGGTAAATGAGAACAATAGCCCAGATACCTGTGACTATCACATAACACATCCTTTCTTCTCTAAATAAATACCCAAGAGAAAAGGTCTCATCCCAACCAAGGAAGGAGAGCCTGAAGAAACCCTTTCTCTCTTACACTTTGTTCAGATTTTTTATGCTTTTTGAGAAGCCAGGGAAAAAGCAGACATTGCATGCTTGGGACTCAAAACTCCACTATGGAAACTTACTGCTCTTCAGGCAGTCACTCTCAGACAAGCTGTTCCTAGGCTAGAAAACAAAGTTCAAAAATCTCCAACCACCAGGATCGTGACTCCAGTCCCCTGAGGTGTTCCAGTGGTCGCACTGGAGTGCTCAGTCCCACATGTGCAGCAAAGCCAGCTGCTGGTGCAACATGAGGGACTGGGACAGGAAAATATAGTGCTTGCTTTGGGGAGCACTGCGGTGTGTTGTGAGGTGCCTGTGTTTCAGAGGGATCCATCATGAGCTCCCCTTGTGACCACGTAATAATGCAGTTCTGAGGAGAAAGTTTGGAATGCTGGATAAGTGAAATTTAAATTAAAATTGAATAATGACAATTCCAAAGTAGTTGGATTATTTCTAATAGCCTCCATTTTTATGGACAACCATAAATATTTTGACAGTGAAATGAAAGGGTTTGTTTTCCTCCTGGGAGTCGAGAACAGAACATGGTGCATCTACTAGAAAAATCCTTGTTGCAGGACCAGCCAATAAAATATCTATTACACCTGATTTTTCCGAAAAACATATCCATGCTACTGCAGTATTTTCCATCTCCCCAGAGCGGCAATGGTAAAATACCATAAAAACGTTTTTAGAGCAAATGTGGCCTATCTGCCTTCTCATGCAGGTGACAAGGTGATGTTGAAGACACGGGAAATACCTCTCTGCTACTGTTTCCCTCAGTCTGTTGGGCTCAGGGAGCACCAGGACTGTTGCAGTGCTGTTGTGTGCAAAAAACGGGGTGACTGCAGCACAGAGAGGCTGCCCCACACCACTGTGTTCAGCTATTGTTAGGCATGAGATGTAAATCACACAGCAAATTGGAGACTTAAAGGTTTCGTTTCCTTTACAATAATGGTACTTAATGAAATGATTTCCCTTGCTCACGTATTCCCTCGCTTTGACTCTTGTCACGGTCAGTCAGAGGACACTGAACAGTTTCAGGGTTATTTTTCAGCCTGTGGCTGGATGCTGCAGCTGAGCACAGTACAGCAGTAACATGAAGAGTGGCTTTCAGAGGTGTGTGAGGAATGCTGGCAAGTTACCAATAGCATGTCCAGTCATTCCTCCCAAAACAAGGCTGTTTGGATTGACATAGGGCTATAAAACATTCTAAAGTTTTATGAAAACCTGCATCTTTATTGCATCTATTTCCATAATTCTGTCATGTAGAAATATCATATCCCTGTCTTACACCTGGGACTCATGAGCATAAATTAGCAGAAGATCAACGAGAGGCTGAACTCTCTGGTTCCAAATCTGTGATTCTGGGTACCAGGCTATATGCTTATTAATTAGTCATATTTTAATACAAATCACAATTAATTACAAGATGACTGGTTTTTTTTCTTCTTTTTTTTTTTTTTCTTGCTCCCCTCCCCCCCCAGTCTCAGAAATAACTGAGTTAGGTTTTCATGTAAAAGTAGCTTAGAACCTGGACAATGAAGGTAAAGGACAGCTTTAAGTCCCAGTGAAGTGCAAGGGCTTGCTCAGCAGAACCACATTGGGTAAAACTGGTTCTCAGCCTTCCCTAGCCTGATGATTCTGTATCTCACAATTTTAATTTGTTAATTTGTAGTGGATGAGAGTAAGTAACATAAGTAACCTGTGAGCTAAGAATAACCATTTTCAGTGAACATAAGAGAGAAGGGAGAATGTCAAACTTCTATCCACATGAGAGGACATTTAGCAACTATTTACCACAAACCTGTCAAAGCTGTCATCTTAGAAAAACCCACAAAGGCACAGCTAAATTTCTCACCACTATAAACCTTGTCCATGCCCGAGTTGAACCTCTGGCTTCTTTGCGAGGCCTTCTGTTTCTTCACTGGGTAACGGAGGTTTGTTACTAGTCCTTGATCTGGCTTTTCAAAAGCATATATCAGGTCCTTTAACGTTCTGAAGATCCTTTCTGGAACACCTTCAGAAGTCTGCAAGGAAAAGACAACAAAGTTTGTTTGCAACTGTCCTTCCCATGGAGTCCCCTGAATGAAAGGAATGATAGGTTGTTTCTTATTTACCAAGGACCTGTTCATAAACAGGTTTGATGACAGAATATTTGTACTGTCCTTAAAACACTTGGGACACCTGTTTGGTAGCATGGATTTGGCACTAAGAGTAACCTCCCTCATCTTTTTTTTTTCCCCAAAAGAGCATACATTTAAAATATTGGTGTAGATGTGGGCTGCAGCAATCCACTACAGCAGAGCACCAGAAAGACAGCATTACACACTCTCCTCTGGTCTTAGAGCATAAGTTTAGGGATAACATATTTAATTCTCACTTAAAATGTTGTATTTAAACAACTATGTAACAAACAGGAGCCAAACTTTTACAAAATGTCAGCACTGTCAAGTATAGGACATGTGCAAGTAGTGGCGGATGTGTCTGAGGATCCATAAGAAAGCCCCCAGCTTTCACTATCAGGGAGGGGTTTATTATCTGTCCAGCTTTGTGACTTACCTTGGAGACTCCTGAGGCTAAAAATGGAGAATGGTACTCCTTAGGGGAGCAACAATGTTCTCACAACCTGCTTTTGAAGTGTGGGTTCATACAACAAGACAGAACTGCTTCCATGGCACAGCCCCACGGGGATTTGTGCTCAGACTTTACAGCACTGGTGACTTCAGGGCTGGACAGTGAACACATCAATCAGCTCTAATCACAGCAAGCATCCTCATTAAAAGTGAACGGGGCCTTGGTTTCACCTAATTCGCCATCTAACAAAGAAACCTGTGTCTATTTTCTTTGGTTTTCTGCATCCTTTATCTTCCATTCAGCCCTGTATGGACTTTGTGCCACTGCCTCTGTGTACTAGGTCTGGCTGGGATGGAGTTAACTTTCTTTGTAGAAGCCTGGATAGTGCTGTGTTTTGAAAGTGTGACTAAAACTGTGGATAACACACCCGTGTTTTGGCTGTTGCTGAACAGTGCTCATGCAGCCTTCAGATTGTTCTTTTTTTCACATTTTGCTTCCCTAGTGAGTAGCTTGAGGGCGTGCAACATGCTGGGAAGGACACAGAAGGACAGCAGATCTAAATGTGCCAAAGGGCTATCCCATCGCATCCCATCCCATCGCATCCCATCCCACACTGTGATCAGCAATAAAAGCTCAGGGAAAGTGAAGAAGTTTTGTTATGGCATTTGTCTTCTCATGTAAACATTGTGTGTGCTGAGGCCCTGTTTTCTAGGAGGTGGCTGCCTCCTGATGGGAAGGGGTGACTAAATTCCATCTTTGCTTTGCTTGCACGCACAGCTTTGCTTTACCTATTTAACTGGTCCAGGAGTTTCCTCACTTTTGCTCTTCATGTTCCCTTCCCCTCACCTCTCCTGTTAGGCAGGGCAAGGAATGAGCAGCTGTGGAGGTGCTTAGCTGCTGATGGGGGCAAACTACCGTACTCTAGAAAGCTCATGGCTGAATCTGGCCTTTAAAAACCCCCAAACAGTCTCTCCTCCACCATCAGTACATTATTTCAGTCTATTAGTTTAGTAAGCCCTAACAATCTGACTTAAAATTTTGAAGAACAAAACTCTTCTTTCACATTCTTGGCAAAACTTTGTAAAGAAAAGTGGGTTTGAAAAAACTAAAAGTGTCTCATTTATTACCTGCTGATAGGAATGACAACAAACCCCACTACTGTGGCTATAGTCCAAAACATATTATTTTTTTTCAACAAACCATTCTTCTTCATGGCAAATTGCATCTTTCATACATTAGTGGAGAACCACTAATAAGCAATAAATTACCAGTCTATGAGAGCTTGGCATGTTTTTTATAAAGTGATTTCCTCATTCCACTTAAATGCTACTTGACTGTTGGCAGTCCTTTTGGCTGTCTTACTACATCCAGGGTAGTGAGCCAGCTTTATAGGCATCCTCTCACATTGCCTGGGGATTTGATTGATGCAGTAGTCTGCTCTTACACTTATCTTTTCTTGAATAAGCAGCATTATCTGGCATCATCACTTCAGGTGCCTAACAATCACACAGAAGAATAGGTCTTTTAAATGAAAAAGATCATTGCAATATTCCAGATCCCAACGAGATGCTGTGTGCGATGGCAGAGCTTTCAAGTAAAAGAGCTAATTAGGAACAGGAGCAAGTAACAAAAATGATAGATTTTTCTTCAGTGTTATCAAAAAGAAATGGTCAAATCAGAAAGCAGCTGGTTAATAAATAATAGATCTGCTTAGATTATAAGGAAGTTCTACAAAAACAGTAGCTACTTTTGAGCTCATATGTAATAATAAATATAACATCAAAAAGACAAGAAATGAGTAGAGAAGAAAGCAAACTTGTAAATATTTTTCTATGGTATTGTGTTTATGTATTTTTTTTAAATCTATGATCTATGATAGATCAAATGTTCATAGATTAAAATGATCATTGATCAACTATGATCTTTTAATCGATGATTTTTAAAATCTAAGATCTTTAGTGCAATCTCTAGATATATAATGAGAGTTACTCACCTGTATTCTAAAATATCCTTGGTGCTCCCTGAAGATACGGTAAGTGTAGACGAGGTTTTCAAAGCTGTGAAAAACATAGTTGTATACATAATACACCACATTTGTAACTAAGCGCAAGACTAGAGATATCTTCAAACAGGAGATGCTGTTACAGATATGAGAAGTGATGCAGTAAAATTCAATGAGACAGAGGCAGAAAAGCAAAACAGAAGATTGCAAAAAAACAGAGATTGCACAATGAGTGAAGGTTTAATATCTTGAAATACAAGATTACTCTAACTGGGAGTTTCCAAGAACTTATGAACTAAACCTAACACACAGACATTTTGTAAGCTTAATTTGATTCCTCAGACATCATCTCCTCTCATCTGTCTTCTTATCCTTCTCTAGTGTGATATCTCCCTGAACTTCATTTTGATATTCTATCACAAGAAGGCTGTTGAATTCTTGGAGAGATGTTAGCAGAAAACGGCCTCCAGTCACCAGCACCCAGAAAATTACTGCATTGCTCCTACTTCTAAGAAAATTGTTCTTCCTTTGCATTTCCCAGGTTTTTAACTATTGTTATTTTTAATAATAATAATATGAGACCCCTGGTGGCCTAGTGGTTAGCATGCAGGACTCTCACTGCTGCAACCCGGGTTCGATTCCTCGGTCTCCCGGGCAGATGGAACCCGTTAGCCCTGTGAGGCCATCCATCTATGAGAAGGTCACTCTAAACAAACCTACGTCCTGAGGACCTCACTGCCATTGTCCAAGCTTGCTTGGCCCCGGCAGATGAACCTTAGGATTAAAGGGTGGGCTCAGTTCAGCGCAGGCTGTGTCTCACCTAAAAAATCCATTGCGCAGGCTGGAAAGGTAAAAGACCTTTCCCCAGATCTTCGTTCGCGAAGACTGGCCATTATATTATTATATTTTTAATAATATGCAGGTGTTTGAACACTAAGGCTACTGATGTCTTTGAATGTATTTTGTCAGCAGAAATTAAAGCTTTATCAAGTACCGCAGTGGCAGCAATTCAAGAGGTGAACTCAAGATCGTGACTGTGATGAAAAAAGGCAGCAGAGTTGCAAAAAGACGTACACCACAAATAAGTGAGAGGGTTGGGAAGTGGGGAGCAGTGTCTGAAAACAAGTTCTTTTAACTGGTATGCATGTTCATCGAAAGAACTTTAGCTGCGGCTAAGTGAATTGAGCTGTCTTGAGTGGGAGAATCTTAGGGTGAAAACCTGTATCAGGGGACTTGCACATAAATGAAGAGTTACTCTGAAATAAACTGCTTTGTTTTGCAAAAAGAGTTACTCTAGACCAAGATCAGGAGAAGGCTTCCAGTTATAATAGATTTATTTTAATTCAAAGAGTGGTATTACAAGGATGCATGTTTTCTTCTTGATATACCTGTGGAAATCCACATGTTCTTTGCTTAAGAGTACTTTATGAATGTAGATGCTCATTTTTTGAACAAAGACAGAGAAGTGAGAAAAAAAAATACCAGAAACTGATAATTTTTGAAATTCATTTTTTACCGATCACCTAAATTTTAAAAGGTTACTGCCTAGATATTATTTAGCTACTGTACTTTTTATTAAATAAACACGAAACTACCATGAGAAAGGAAACTTCCGTTTCCACATTAACTACTAAATGCTTATCAAGAGCTGGTAATAGGGTACAAATTAATATTGCCTGGCCTAGGCACAGGGGAGATCCAGTGACAGAAAAGCAAGGTGAGAGGAGAATGATGTTGAACCATAAGGAGAGCAGTAGCAAGTGCAGTAGATCTTGGCTGAGGCACTGTCAGAGACCTGGGACAGTTTTGGATGAAAATGAGAGTGTACTGTGGAGGAAGATGTATCAGCGGAGCTGTGCACCATGATCTATTAGAGAAGAGATGCTTTTGAATTGGTTCCCACCATTCTGACTCCCAGATTCTCCATGGGAGTGCACTCCTCCCCATATCCCAATAACAGAGGACAAAAAAAGGTTGGTTGTTTGCAAGTGGATCAGAATCTCTGCCCAGGGATCAGCTAATTTGAGAAAGGTGCATCAGTTTGTGCATCAGCCATGTCAGGTGCTAAGCAAAGTTTCAAGATGCAATTCTAATCCAAAAGTTGTCTTGAAACAGCACTGAGAGTTTCAGTGTTGATTTCCCCCAGTTTTAGGTCTGCTTTCCTCCGACTATTGAACCACTGCCAAGAAGTCCAGTCTCTGAGGCAATTCTCAGCCAATGCACTGTTACCTGCCCACGTGCTATCTGAAGATAGGCCTTGCTTTTACCTGTGCAAGCCAGCATCTGTTACATCACTGCTGCCACTCCTTCAGTTTAACTATTGCATTTATTAGTGTATGAGTTACAGTCAAATGCACTAAACACTAAAGTTCTGTTAGTTTTTAACACTAAAAACCCACAGAGGCAAGCTGGAAGTCACATGGTTTTTTGCACGCCTGCCTAGATATCACACTGTGACAAACCAAAGCATGTCTGCAAGAATTCACAAGTTAAATCTGCCTTGCCCTTAACAAAACAAAAAGCAAATAAAAAAAGCCGAACCCAAACCAACCCAAACGAAACCAAAAAAAACCAAAAAGGGACATTTGTCCCTTTTGTACCTTCTGACAGGGTATGCAAGCCCATTCCCTCCCACACTCCTTGTCTTCCCCTCACCCCCTACATTGTCTCATTCTACACCACAGTGAAAGCAGGTTCCCACAGCCCCCTCCCTGAGGGCTCTGTTTGTCCCCCACTTGCTATTTCCCTTCTCCTTTTTCTGTCATTGTACAGACCTCCTCTCTTCTACCTAGCAACACTATAGTACTACATTTTTCTCTCCCTTTTTCTCCCTTCTCCTTCGATTTGTTTCATAAGAAATGCATTTTTAGTCATTGATAAAACATTTTCTTGTATTTTTTAATTAATTAGATGTGCTGTTAAAAATTTTTGGTGTCACACTCAAACACATCCTCAAGGAAAGTGTAAAACCTCACAGGTTCAAGCAAAGAAAGACCTATATTCCAATTTGTAAACTTTAATACATTAGGAACAGATCAATTATATATGAGAAGTGTAAAAAAACCTTCTTGACAGAGAAATAAAAGTGCTATTCCCTACAGGAGAAGAAAATAATAAAATTTTAATTGTGGTAATTAAAGTTAAGGACTAGAAGTAGCAATTTTCTATGCCTATCTTGTCCATGGATTTGTCATACAGGACTTTGTAACTTTCTGTCTCAGCTTAAATTCTTATTTCAGGTAAAATTCCTTTTAAACACAAGGGTAATCTTTCATCAGGGAGAAATTCTACAAAGAAGGAAGTGTTTTGTAACATACCATGAGATTTTTCAGTCTCCTAGCAGTGCTAAAATGCTGTTTACTCATCATTACAGAGGCAGTTACTTTGAGTAAGGTTCTTAACATGTTTTGGCAGGCTAAGCTATTTTCTTTGGGCTCCCCTTATTGTCTGCAGAGAGAGACCAGCACCAACAGATTACAGTTTATTTATTGTCTGTTACATAAAATATTTTTTTTGCAAATTCCACCCTCTCACCACTTACTATAAAGGAAGCCTAAGATGACCAGCACTACTTGAATGCATAGACACACTCCCTTGGAGTTTGTTAATATCAGAGAAGAATCATTAATATTAGAGAAGATGAATGTTGCCTTTGGATCCATCTGAAAACTTGCTAAAAGATCAGTATTAGAGTACTTACAAAATACACAGACACAAGGCGCCTTCCACGCTCTCGCTCTCTCGTATTAAATAGCTACCATTCTTTCTCTTCTTGGCCAGCAGTTCTTCACAAGTTCTTCTTGTTATCTTTCCATGAAAAAATGGCAACTCCATGGACAAAAGAAAACAAGGTGTCTTGCCTTTCAAAGCAATTCCAGAGGAAGTCAGAAGCCTGGCATTAAAAGAAGACTTATTCCAAGTGCAGCTGCCTGCAGAGAACTGAAACTGGAGGCACTAAGTACACGCACGAGTTCATCTGTGTTTTTCACTGACCAGTCCAACGTGAGGCTGGTTAGCAGCTGCCGCTCACAGCTCATGAATGCAGTGAAGGCAGGAAAGGGTTGGTCTGCATTGATTACCATCCACATCAAAAGGGAAGAGACTGTTGAGTTATGTACCACACCTTTAAGTTATGGAATAACTGAGTTGACACCAAAGTATAGTTATCTTTTTAAGTTAACTTTTTATGTTTAAAGTGGCTCAAAGCCATGCAAATAGGGTCCTATGCTACAGGAATAAGTCAGGACTGTATAGAGAAGGAGAAAATTATCTAAAGAAACTCCTGACTTTTTAATTCAGAATTAATCGGTGAATCTGAGAAGAGAAAATGAGTGTTTGTGATGTTCTAATCAGCCTCAGTCACGAAGCCATAGAAAGTTCCAGAAAAGACTTGGCAATTCTCTGTTTGTGCAGAGGTTTAAACAAATTTCATCAAAATAAGCTGTAGAACTACACAAGGTGTTTAATAGAGGAACAGTGTGAGGTGGAGGGTTTCTCCCTGGGTGGCTTCTTGACCCCAGGCTGGGAAAAACAACCTATGAAAAAAACAAGGTAAATTGTGACCAAACACTGTAAGCAGGAGTAGCCATGTTGTACATGCAGCTATTACTTTCATGTTTCTTACTCTGACAACTTTATACACACAAAAATCTGATATTAACATTAGTGTATTTAGCTGCAAGTTAATCATGCATGTCACTAAGATGATTTCCAGGAATAAAGCAATAAGGTACTGTTTTGTCTCAAAGAAATTTCGAGACTTATGAAAAAAAACATACCCTCAAAAGAGAAACTTAGAACTGGCAAGACCAAGGTGACACTGATGCTGAGGTCTGTACTGCAGTCACCACAGATTACAAACAAAACAAGTCCCCATCCCCAAGCGGATGAACTTGTGTCTGTACTTAGAACCTCCTATTTCCATTGTCTGCAGACAGCTGCATTTGGAATAAGTCTTCTTTTATCCCCCGAGGGGATGGGGATAGAGGTGTTGGGGGGAAAATACCTTTGCCTTCCAACTGTCCATAAGAGCATATGACAAATATTCTCCTTGCTTTGAAATACACTTGTATTTTCCTACGAGTTAAAACTATTTGGGGCACATCTTATAAATAAACGTTTTCCATGAGGTATTGTGAGGTGAATGGCTTTTCCAGAAGCCCAGCTCTGCAAAGGAAGAGCAGCAGCTGCTCAGCGCTGCCCTGCTTCAGGCAGATCCTCTCAGCATTGAAAGGAAGATAAATGGGAAACAACTGCGAATTCCTCTTTCAGAAAGGTAATGACTAGATCTTCTTCACAATTTTCCCTAAAGACCTCATTATCTAGGTGCAGAAATAGAAGACAGTAGTTTCAGTAGATCTTGCAGATCTGAATCCAGAAGTTACTTAAAGGGAAACAACAACCAGATGCTGCCCACTGATGGCCTAGTAGAGTGCTTCTCTGATGACAAAAAAACCTGGAGAACGAGAAAGTGCTTGAGGAGAATTGGGGCCTAGGGTCTCCTTCCAGGAGCAGTCACCATCCCCTGCTCTGAGCACCTTCCTTGTCAGTTGTTTCCATGGCTCCCAGAAGGCACTCATGAATTAAGATAGTACTTTTTCCTTACCTTATCTATCTGTAGTCTTTAAATGGCCCTAAGAATAGGAGCTTGATTTAAAAGCAGAAATCATAGAAGTATACCAGAGAAAGGGGTCTGGGAAGGAGAAAGAAGAGAGAGGCTATAAATACAGTGCGGTCTGTCACTAAACCACAAACAAGATTCTGTGACCAGGCACAGGAACTTTACATTGTGTCTTGTATGCTTACCTGTATATCTCTGTGTGTGTATGTGTGTGTGTGTGTGGGTGTGTGTTTTGTTCTGACACTGGAGGGCAAAAATGCACCGCTTCTGGCAAAAATAAAACAGGACTTGCAGTTCACAGACTGGGCTACCTGCTGATGGAAGGTGAGGTGAGATTTCCTTGTCAATCACCCCAGAGCTGCGCCACGACCCTCAACACAGTTTGTACCATACAGCACTGAGTCTTTATCACGTATGTTGGAATCACATAACAATATATTTCCACAAGCCAAATTTAGCTGTAAACTCTGAGCAAACATTTCCTAACAAGTATTTATGGCTTAACAAATTTAGCAAGTATTTTTGGCTTACACAAACCTGCATACCCAGGCTGCCTTCTCAGCTGAGTCTGAGGAGTGGTCAGAAATATGAGCTGGTGGTATCAATTGTGATGAAATCTGTGATGAGAGGCCTGGGAAGGTAGGATGGCAGTGATGTCCCAAGGCAATGGGGCTTGAGTGGTTGAGGCAGTCACACCAGGCTGAGCCTCTAGGCATTATCACTCAGATCTTAGCTACACCAAATCAAGCAAAGGCTGTTGTGAATCCGCTCTTAAAATCATTTTACTCCACTCTAAAATAGGAATTGGTCTGTTTATTTCTTCTCATCTACTGAAGGAGATTTCACAGTTTCTAGGATAGCCTCCTTGCAGTGACTAGCTTTTCAGATGACAGAGAAAAGGGGAAAAGTGAAGTTCTTTTTCCTGGTAGACTGCCTCTTGGCCTGCTTCTACCATAGCATAGAAAAAACCAAATAGAGTATCACTTCCTAACAATCTTTGTATGTCAAAACAATTACGTCCTTTAGTCAATTTTTTTGTTTTATGAAGTTAAGGCAGTCAATTCCTGCAGTCTTTTCCCACAAGCCACATTTTCTGGCAATTGTTTTCTTTACTTTCTCTGATACCACCTTGGCTAAAACTTCTATAGAATTTGATGCCTATAAATGATCTAAATCTTTTGACTAGAAGAACAGGATAGTTAGCCACTCTTCCTTTGACAGAACAGCTGTTAGAGAAACAAGACCTGCAACATTTTGGAAGCAGTGTCAAGTCCTAGTTGACCATATATCTAATCAGTTTTCTGCCATTCTGTTGCCTTTACTAATTTTCAATTTTTTTCCCTCTTGTAATCATAAAACTTAGTGGGGCAATTTCAGAGTGAAACCTCATGTTATCAAGCACACTTTGCGCTCTGGTTCTACATCTCCTGGCTGTAGTTCTAACACAGCAAAGCTCTTGATAGTGCTTTCTGTAAGGATAGGAAATCTGAGGAAGAGCTAGGCTGCTTGACAACACTGAGAGTTAAGCATTCATCAATACTCAGGGAGAATGTGGGATATCAGGGTTAGATTGAAAGCTGTATTCAAAAGCAGCCAAAAGCAAAACCAATGTGCTCGAACTGTTGTGAATAAAGCAGGAAGCTGAAGGGTCATTTGTTATTTGACCAGAAAAAAGAAACAACCACAAAATAAGAAAACAGAAAGTACGTTCTGAGAATCTGAGTCTCCTGACAACCTGAGATCTCATTGAGCTATGTTGCTAGGCATTCACAGTCCTGTGGCTACTTTACAAACAGAACCAATTAGGTTTTTGCAATAAGTACCACTATAGCAAGAAATTACATTTAATTTTGCAAAATTCACGACTGTAGCATGATATTTACACCAGTCTTATTTTTGCAGTGTACTGTGTCTGGGTACAAATGTGGTTTTTTGTGGTATTTGTTGATGGCAAGATTTAATTTATACCAAAAGAAAAATCATTATGTAAATTCAAGAAGAAAATTGAACTAGTGTGTCTATTAGTTACAGATTGCTGCTAGAGCTCTCTGTGGAGCCCCAAGGCATCAGAGCTCTGCCATTAGCTTTCTAATAAAATGTAAACCTAGGAGGAAAAGTCTATTTTATAACCTTCTTAACATATTGCCTTTTTTAAAACAAAAGTAAATTGAAAATGATAATTGAAAATTAAAATGATAATTCAAAACTTATCTGTGCTAAAAATTGAATTAAAAAGTCACAGAACCAAACAATTAAAAAAAATTATATAGCTATAAGATATATGAGTAAGTGTAAGTAGTGGGTTTTGGTCTTGAAATTATCTAGAATTTTGCTTAAAAATTTACTTGCAAGATAGAGCCACAAAAGAACATTTTCCGTCTCACTGGCAACCACGCTGTCAGAGTTCACAGTGATCCATATGCAATTACACTGTGAGCTTAGAATAGTTGCAATTGTTGTATTTAAGTGTTACGACCTGCCCCTGAGACAGGGTAACAGGTTCTTGTTAATAGATCTCTTGAGGTGAATTAGAGTGAAATGACACTGAATGACTGGTATATATATAAGGCATATTTATTTCAAAATTATTTAATTGCAGCAGAAAGGAGTTGTGTAGCAGTTTTGGTTCTCTTCTGTAAAAATATAAAAATATCACACCCTGAAAATTCATCTCCTAAAACATCATTCATTGGTCTTGAATATCACATAAATCAATTAATGATCATAATGCCCCCAAAATACTGCCTTCCTGTTAAGAAATATGCAAATAAAGCTGTGGGAAATGACAAAACTCAACTTGATCACATTTCTATACTTCTGCTGCATACTCCATCAAGTATAACTACACTATAAAGCTTGTAGCTTTTGTCCTAATATTTGACAATACTCTGACTACGATGTTCATCTGTCTACATCTAGAGTCACATTAACACTGACATCTTTTTTACCTTCTGAATTTACTCTTACTAATAGGTCTTTTCACTGTTACTAATATTTTCCCACTCATTAAGTTGCCAATGTTCTGTCCAGAATGCTGTGTACATAGAACTACAGCTTGCCACTTTGGAAGGGTGCTGCTGTTTTCTCATCTTTGCATAATATTGAAAACAATGCTTCCCCCCTCCCCATAGTAATTAGACACTGAAAAATGTAATGAAAAACAAATGAGAATGATAACATATAAACTTCAGAGGGCTCTTGTATAATTTCCTAAACCACTTAGATGCCAGCATTTAATTATTATCCTTCAACTACCAA